GGGGTAAAGGTTTAGGGGCCGCATCCTAAGCCTCAAACCCTGAAAGCGTAACCAAGCTCTGCAGGCTGTCGGGCGCGGTTTTAGGACCAATCTCCACTTAAACTAATTACTTCAAAAGTCAAATCCTTAGCCTGCTTGAGCTTGGTCCTAGGCTCACCTACAACACTGCTCCCAACAGTGTCCGTAATTACGGTTCACTACGTGCAGAGGTGGAATGGGGCCTGTGCTTCCTTCGGCATGGCAGTCCTTGGCTTAAGCTGGTTGCGTTTACTATTACTATAGTCCCTATAACAGCCCAAACAAGTATGTCTGTGTAAGCCTAGACCACCAACAATCTAACCCGTTTTCCAACCGAGAGAGACTAAGCGGACACTACAAGGGGAAGAGGCGGGACCCTTAATAAGGACCCCTAGGTATATACCCTTAATATAGCTATTATATACCCATTATAGGGTAGGGGTCCCCATTAAGGGTCCCTCCTTTTCCCCTTTGATATTAGCAAGATGCAAGGAAGAACCTCCCCACTCCCCACCTCGAGACACCAGGCCGCCGCCCAGCCAGACCAGGAGCCGTTTGCAAGCGAGGTGGTAGATGGAGGCCATGCCTGGAGAGTCTTCGATGATTACGAATGTCCGGGCGTGCGTTCCGTCCAGAATGTCGGGGTTTGGGGCGACTGCGGTGAAGAGCTCTTCGGTCCGGGGCCTTGCACCCTTGGTAGGCCTCTTCAAAGCTCCAATGCAGTCTTGTTGATGACACAACGTCAAGCGCCTCTGAAACCTACTTTGAAAGACGCATGCCTTTACAATTTTAAAACGTGTGACCACTTCTTTGGGCACTACATGAGTATATAAGATAGGCCAACCCACATCCCTGCAGCTCCTACATTCCAGAGTGTTTTTAGACACTGCGTAGGTCAAGTGTTTCCTTCCGGAGATGCAGAAGAACCCCGAATGGGGAAGGTGTGGAGCCAGAATTGGTGACATAGTTGTGTTGGCTGTTGCTGGGTGGGGGTGCAGGTAATTTCTCGGTTACAATAATCACGACCGCCTGACAACACCTGCCCGGCTCTTTCCTGGCCGAGTCAGGAGGGCCGTCACCAAACTTTTTGAGACCTGGTCGAAGAAGCTTGGCAGCACAGCTATCTCGGCTCCTGAGATTTGGGTTTGGAGATGTCAGCCAATGAAGGTCGCTCTGCCAAATTTCGGCCATTGTAGCTCCGGCAACAGGATCGCAGCAGGACTGCTGCTCAACATTTGCAAAGCTTTAGCGCAAAAGGCAGGACTCTACCTGAGATGCCGTAATGTGCTGAGTAACATTGCTCACACATCCACCAATGCAGCCAGTCGCCATCAGTTTAAGTCCATCAAGTACGCTTAGGCAGCAGTCCGAATACATCTTCGGCTTGCATGGAATACGGAAGACGGACTTCTGAATGTTCGTGTGTGAGAACACAATGACATTGCCATCCTGTGAACGTGTGATGACCACGCACGGGTGGGTGGCTGCAAGATGCAAGGCTGCATGGTGCCTCGTACCATAACCTTCCAATATCAGGCCGCTGGGTTCCCAGGGAAACATCATCTTGCCATCCACTATCCGACCGGTCTTGCCATCGATCAAGAGGAAGCCATCCTGATCGAAGGCTTCTCGCAGAAGACCCTCATTTGGATTGTCGCGAATTCTTTGGTCGACACATGGGCTAGGATGTTCTGACATTGGTGCACCTTTCAATTGAGAGCTTGCCAAGACAAGTCCACAACCGGTTCGTCGCCCCTCGTGGTGGCAATAGGTTACTGCAATATGAATGCCAGCTTTCAGTACGCTTCTGGCAACATGGCTGGGAAACTCCAAGCCTTTTTCACAAGCATCATCAAAGCTGTCGACATCGACGATCGGCAGCTTGCGTCCCTGCCTGCAAGAGAACAACATTTGGGTCATCCAGCCGCTCGCGCTCCTCGGCAATCTTGAGAAGTTGTTGGCAGTTTCGTCGGACTTGCCTAACTCTCAGTATGTGCTACAAAGTGACGCCCCAATGGGGTCTCCTTTAATGTGACTTGAAGGTCGCTAATTACGCAGTCATTCCCCCCTGCAATGCCCTTCAGCTAATCAGGACAAGGGTATAGTACATAGTATATAGTGTTCTAATTCGAACACGGAGCATACCAACTCAACTGCGACAGCACGTCCTGGCGTCGCCGAGGCTGTGCAAGCTCCACGTAGCTGCAAGTTGTCGGCGAAAAGTGTGGCGAACTAAAGAAGGTTGTGAGCGAAACGCGGCTGCGGGATAAGGGTGCGTTTTGAGCATCTCCGTCTCAGAAACACTGGACACGTATGGGTACCACTCATACCGAAGTCCAGGGCTCTGTGCCCAGCATATGCTTAACAACTGCTCGGGCATCAGATTGGCAGCAAGTCAACACGTCTTGTAAGCAAGTTGGAGTCACTCAGAGGCTCGAGGAGTAGTGTTTAAACGGTGGCGTTGGAGACGCTGGAACTTCGGCAGAGAGCTGAGACTGACAGAGAGGGGGTTCGAGGGCAGAGCGATTTGGCGGCACTGCCTAGGTAGATGAGAGTGCGGTTACTATGGGTTAGGCGGGTGCGGAGGAATGGCACTTGAAGGCTTCGGGTTGATTTGGGCGGTCACGTGTGAGGTTTCGGGGGTGGTGCTTTGAGGATAAAGTCGATATCGCTGACAACTCTTAAGAGTTTAAGTGTGGCTTCATACTTTCGGAGTCTGGGGTATTCTGAGGCGCCTGGGATGCTTCTATGACGATCTATAGGTCGAAACTTCAGCCAGAAAGGAGTGAACGCCGGAAACCTAGACAATGCCCAGAATCGCTCTGCTGCTGCACTTGAACGAAACCGGAACATTTACCTAGAGCATGAAGCCGTAATGCAACTTCTACACACGTGCATCCTTGCTAAACCTTTTCAACCTCTCCCCCCCCCGGTCTGGCGGTTGAAAACCATCGTCGGAATCAGGTGCCTTCTCAGGCGGCCCTTGGGTGCAGTTGACGGCCATTGCGCACTGCAGAAGCCGCGCAGCCAACAACCAGGCCTGGTCGGTGGCCCTCCCCAGAACCCCCTAAAGCCCTTCAGACACCAAACTGTAAAACAACCTGAAGCCCGCCAAGAATCCAGAGTACCTAATGATCAGGCATTTGGGTTTCAGGAGAAATTGACTTTGGGGAGTGTACGTGTATTCGGAACTTGGACCCCAATTAAGGATTAAGGGCCTATGGCGACGTTTCGAGATCTGTGATCTCCGGCGTGTGCTGAGTCGTGCTTGACAGGGGGGCTATGCCGAAGCATGCTTTTCAACAGTGGGCGTATAGGGTTCCTGGACATGGCTGGTTGATGATTTGGTCTGCCAAGCAGATGTGGATCCCACGAATCAGAGCTACTCACATGTCAGTCAAAAAGACAGTACAGCACATCGAACAAAGAATCGCGCAACCGCTCCTGCTGAAGAAATGCCGGTTCTTCGGATGACCTCTAAATGCTTGCAGGAACTTGCAGTTCAGGGTCCCGACCGCGAAACCCTAGCCTCACAACTTCACAACACAGACAACACAGATAGATGGCAGGTAGCTTGGCAGGTAGGTAGATAGATCAGGACAGGGAGAAATAGCGACACAGAGAAAGGGAAAGAGAGAGAGAGAGAGACAGACAGAGAGAGGGAGGGAGAGAGGGAGAGGGAGGGAGGGAGAGAGAGAGAGAGAGAGAGAGAGAGGGAGAGAAAGAGAGAGAGCGAGAGGGGAGAGAGGAGAACGAGAGAGAGAGAGAGAGAGAGAAATAGAGAGAGAAGAGAGAGAGAGAGAGGGAGAGGAGGAGAGGGAGGGAGAGAGAGTTAGGGAGAGAGAGAGAGAGAGAGAGAGAGAGAGAGAGAGGAGAGGGAAGAGAGAGAGAGAGAAGAGACGAGAGAGAGGGAGAGAGAGAGAGAGAGCGAGAGAGAGAGAGAAAGAGGAAAAGAGAGCGGAGATAGAGAGAGAGAGAGAGGGAGGAGAGAGAAGAGAGAGAGGAGAGGGAGGGAGCGAGAGAGAGTGAGAGCGAGAGAGATGAGAGAAGAAGAGGAGAGAGATAGAGAGAGAGAGGGAGGCGAGAGAGAAGAGGGAGAGAGAGGAGGGGGAAGGGAGAGAGAGAGAGATAGGAGAGAGAGAGAGAGAGAGGGGGAGAGAGAGAGACGAGAGAGAGAGAGAGGGAGAGAGAGAGAGAGAGAGAGGGAGGGAGAGAGAGAGAGAGCGAGGGAGGGAGGGAGGGAGGGAGGGAGAGGAGAGCGAGCGGGAGAAAGACAGAGGCTCACATTGGGGTGTCGGGCCACGGTGTCGGGGTGGGGTTGGGCGAGCTGGAAGGACAAAGGTCTACAATACACATACACGTGTGAAAAAACAACACATAATTATTTCATGAATCTCTTTATGTCCGGTATGTATATATATATATATATATATATATATATATAATGTGTATATATAGATATGTATATTATAAGCATCTTGCTGTTCTTGAGCCGGGGAGGGATGGTTTGGATTCCGCGCCTGGTCGCCCCCAATGCTGGCAGCTGCCGGAACTAGATTCGCCAACTCCCGGGCGACGTCCTCCGTGCCACGCCCTCCCTGGCCTTGGAGGGTCTAAAGCCAGCATGCTGGCAAGGACAACAATGCTGATAATTAGAACGGCATCAGGAAGACGATTCCGAAAGCAGGACGGCTACAGCTCTGAGCTTCGTTCGTTGTAACAAACCAATCCTGCAGCGAAAAACCCTGGCCTGAACCTACAGGGGTTGCTGCATGGGCTTGCAAAAGGGTCTAGAAGGCTGGTTATGCAGACATGATGTCTCACATTAAGCTTCGATGCGTGGCAAGCTGTTACAAGGATACCGCCGAATTTTCTGCAGGGGTCAGCTCTGTCACTGCTTCGCACTTGCAACTAGCATCCTCGACTGCGGTCGCCCATGTACTTTCAGCACTGATCACAGCTCGAAGAAACGCCGAACGTTCTTAGCTGCCCAAGTAGCAAAGCTGCAAGAGAGCACCGGAAGCTGCCATAGCACCGGGCAGCGCGCCCGGCTTCAGCGCTTTCAGCGTGGTAAGCAAGCCTCAGGAAGTCGTATGCTTAGGCTTCAGCTTTGCGGGCGCAGTAGGTAGTTTTGGAAAAGTGCTCCAGAATAGGCACTTCCCCTCAGAGTACCAAGTTGCAGATGTGTTGAACAAGACCGACACAGCACACAGTACTTCCAAGCGACCACTAGACACTAGAATTCGAAGAGTGACCGACAGCTTCAGCAAGGACGGAATGGGGCTTTTTCAAATTCGCAGGTCAGCACTCCAGCATCAACACTGTTTTTGTTTTCAAAGCCCCACACCGAAGGCCTTCACCCTGAAACCAAACGTACTGCTAGCGGCATTGAAGCATCTTCATCTCCTGGCCATCCTGCTCAACGGCACCTCGCAGAATCAAGTGGCTAAGGCAAACCTACGACTTTCTGGCTGCAAAGTCGTTGCTGCGAATAGCCTGTTGTGTTTCCTCCCAAGTTTCAGCGATTCTTACACATAGCCTTCCAGATGTTGTGACACGGGCCGTGGTGACAAACTCTTGTAGCTATGGTTCTGACATGAAACTCGGACAGCAGGAAAGCGTATGAAAGCCCATTGCACCTTAACTTGACTAGGTGCTACCCGAAAATACTCGCCCAAGGAATACAACACTAGAACAATCTCAACACCGATCTCCCAAAATTAAAGGCATACTCCCAAACCTCAAACCCCAGAGATAACCCCAGAGATAGGGTGGAGGGAACCTTGGCAACCAGGATTCTCTGGAAGTGCAACAACAGCGTCAAAAAGGTTGTCAATCGCATGGCATGTCCTGGCTTCATGATGCCCCCAGGCTCCAAACACACAGATCACACCAACTTACAGGTCTAAAGTTTATCTACGTTCTACATTCGGCTATTACGGGATGACTGAAGGCCTTTCCCAGTCGTATTATAGTGCAGGTGAAAGGCCCCAGCTGCTAAGAGAACACCGCGTCGGCACGAAGCAACATTAAACCCTGTAGCCCCTATAAACCCTGAACCCTACCTTAAATCCCTCAATCCTCAACCGCAGTCTCCGTCGTCTTAGTCCACACCTCCCCACAGAGAGCAGAGCTGAGCAGCACTGGTAGGCAGCTCTTGGAGAATCCTCTTGGCATGTCTTCTGGGGTACCGGGTTTAGGGCTGTAGTGTTCCAGGGTTGAAGCTGGACTCTGGAAGTCTTGGGAGATGAGGATTGAGGGTTTACGGCGTTAGGGCTTGAGGTCTTGGGCTTTGAACTTACATAGCGCTCTAGAGCCTACATTCTGCAGGCTCTGAGCCTAGAACGCTTCCCTAAACCGAAGCCCCAAAGCCTAAACCCATGTCTTGCTAACTCCGGATTCAGGTCAACGGCAGTTGAGTTTGTTGCAGATCAGGGTTCCCTTTCCGACACAATTACTTGGAAACCAGCTTTGAAAGACTAAATCACCAGAAGAAAGGCTTGAACCTTCAACATTGAATTCTTGCCGCTATAGCCTTCAAACCCAGATCTCACCAACGCCCTATACATCAGACCCTCAACACTGGCCCCCCGTGGCTCCCGGAAGGGGTTGCTAAGCAAGTGGGGCCTGAACCGTTCGAATAGGGCTGTGGTGTATAGTATAATAGAAACATGTCCATACTATGTGGGTGTGTATAAATATATATATATATATGCACATAGAGAGAGAGAGAGAGAGCGAGAGAGAGAGAGAGAGAGAGAGAGAGAGAGAGAGAGAGAGAGAGAGAGAGAGAGAGAGAGAGAGAGAGAGAGAGAGAGAGAGAGTGCGAGACGGAACGGGAGAGGGAGAGGGAGTTAGAAAGACAGAGGAGAAGGAAACCAGTGTATAAAGCTACACACTTAATCCAAATCGATTTGGGGTGGGGAAACCCAGACCCCAGTTCAATGTTGGGGCATCGTCAGGCTCAGGGTTTGAGGTTTCGGGGCTTCAGACACCCCAAACTCTGTTTAGGCTGAGTCACGAGGATCGGTTGTGGAGCTTCGGGCGAAGACGCTTACAGGCTAAGGCCTTGCTTGCATCGAACAGCACTGGTGCCAGGTCAGGGGCCATGCCAACCTGAAAACTAAACCTTAGCCTGAACAGCCTCAACTTTACAACCTAAACCTAAACTCCGTGAGTCCTAAATGTTGAAGTCTAAAGTCTGAACCCCAACCCGACAGCCTTTTCTACGTGCCGGGTTCAGAACCATCCCAGAGCTCTGAGTTGCGGAGGACCTCGCGACAAAGTCGGAGAAAGCTACGGGGATCGGCCTTTCCAATGCGAAGCAAAGCATCGGCCATGGCCCAGTCTCGCAACCTTAGGGCTTTTGCCCACAAAATCTGCAGTTATCTAAATCTTGGGCTACTAGTTAAGCAACTGGAGCCCTAGGAGCGTGCTATTCCATGTTTAGGGTTAGTTAAACGTAAGGTGCAGGATTGAGATGCAGGGCTTAGGGTTACGGATTTAGCGGCCTAGGCGTTTACACACTACCCTGGGGAAGACGAAAGCAAACGTCAGTCCGATACGGAAGTTGGCTAGCCTGCTCGAAAATCAAAACACTACAGAATCCTATTCCCAGTGGCCGTGCATCTTCCTCTCCAGCACCCCAAGAATGTTGAATGTCGCGGCCGAATGGGCTGTTGATCTCGGTGGTGTTCACCACCACCACAGTGTCGCGGATCTCCTCAAGGTTTCCCAGGTCTTCTAATGAGCCTTCCGGCACTGCGCGGGGGTAGCTGTTCGGCTGCAGGAGCTCAGTCATGATGCCCTGCTCTCCAGGCCAGTTAGCCCACAAGGTCTTGTGCTTCAGGAGAGCTGCCCAAACCAGCCAGCGGTGAAAGAGGTCCATGGAAGCTGGGCAGTCAGCACGAAAGAAGATGACTCCCGTATTAATCCAAGTTACGCCGGGTGAACTAACATTTGGTTTTAAGGCACCCGTCAGCGAGTCTCTCGGGGCGGTGATGTTCTGAAACTCCACTGGATGTTCTACAGCGAAGATCGCCGACGATCGGCAGTCGTCCGAGCGCTGATACTTCCTAAGGAGCCTGTCCACAATCCATTCAAGGGAAAAGCTGCTGCGGACAAAAGCGTCAGCGTCCAAATACAGGATCCACTTACACTGCGACATGCTTTGTCTGCTGAGAAGCTCCTCGATGTACCAGACCTTGTTCCACCCCTTAAAGACACTTTTCTTTCCGTGGGAAGGGCGAACCAGATGAAATCCATGGTCATGCTCTTGGGCGAAGGCCATATTGAGCGCCGCACTCTTCACCCAATAGGGTGCTGTAAAAGGGCTCAGCTTCTTAAAAGGACGGTCATCAACCATAAGGATCTCGTAGGAGCAGTCTGATGCGCGGGCCAGAAGCAAAAGAAGCGGAAAGACAACCCGTCGCCGCCACATGCAAGAAGCACGAAGGTCAATCGCTGCTGCCATGGCTACATGCTTTCTGGCTGCACTTTCAGGGAAAGACCGCACGTTAGTCTTCAGAAAGCGCTTGTCCACCGCCATACAGCCTGGCAGACGCTGTGCTCAACCGCGCGACACAATGCCAGTTTATCCGAACAACTATACTTGCTTGTCATGACTGAATATGAAGCTGCACGGCCAAATGCAAACAACGCACACATTCCAAAGCCTCAACGAAACCCGAAGCCCAAAATCCCAAAAGGCTCAATCTGAAGCCCTAGAATTCGGATGTCTTTTTTCGGGGGATCGGAGCAGTGTAGCTGCTGCTTGCATTGGAATGTCAAATGTCGTCATCGAAGGTCCAAAGGCATTTGAAAACGCCAGAAACCACTACGCTCAAATTCGCGACCGTGCTTGCACGCTTGGATATTTGTAGAGAGTGTACAGAAACACATTTGATGGAACCCTTTAAAGCTGGTTCTACGTCTAAAGCTGTTTTTACGTCTAGGCTCTACTAATTACGTACAACGGACACCGCAATGACATCTTGGTGCCTACAAATCCCAAACCCAGTGCCCAATTCCCTGTAAGCCCTAAACCCAAAGCCTTTACCCAGCCTTGACTCCAATCCACCCTTCAGACCGCTGCACTCGGATCATCCAGACTGAGCTAGACCTTATTCCCCCTGCATTACTCTGACACATCTCAAAACCCCAAACCCTGAACCCTAATGCACAAAAAGGTCCTTTAAGAAGCAGTCTTGGTAGATCATGTTAGGTCCGCAAATAGGAGGCATCAGGTTTCAGGTCCATGGTCGTTCCTAAAAACCGTCTCGTTGTGTGAAAAGCAGACAGAAAAATTCATTAACGGTTTACAATCTAAGGTCACCTACTTGATGTCAAGAGGTCTGACGAAGACGACCTAAGACTGTGGTGAACGGAATTTGGCTGACTTCTGAACCCCTCCAAAAAGTTAAAGTCCTAAGAGCCAGCCAGAAGAACGCCAAGGAAGCAAGCATGACTGCATCCTCGCCTCTCTTTCTCGTCGCCCACCGTGACCTGCTAAACTATACCCTAAAGCGTTTATGTGTCCTATGCCGATACAGTAAACTCCATAAAGTTGGTAACCGGATTGAGGCCAAATAGTGCTGCGATTCCCTATACATTACTCGTCTTAAGGATTGAGGCTATTGGGTTTCCAACTTTGGGGCTTCTACCGTAGAGGGTTACTGTACTCCACATTTAATTACCCTGCAGTTCTCTAGCTATGCCCAAGGATGCTTGAGGCGACCTACAACCCATGTGCATGCTCGGGCCCTCTTCCAGCATTTAGCTCTGCTGGGGTTAAGGATTCAGAACTTCAACGCGGGATTTCCGAAGCACACCTCAGTGAACGTGGCCTGTGCTGACCGACGTGAAGGAACGTTACGAGCGGCAAGAATCCACGGTGGGGCCTGCATGGGGTTTGGGCGTTAGGGTTTGGGGTTGAGAAGCAATCAAGCCCTGCCGCCTCGCAAGGGAACCTGTGCCCGTGATATATTATACAGTCACCTCGTGAAGCCAGGGCCCCGGCCCCGGCAAAGAGGGCTGAACGCAGCGGCGCGGCAAGCGGAGTCTCTTCGAAACCTTGTGCACCAGGGCTCTCGATTGGGTGGTTCTCATAACTTATAGCTGGATCCTCTTCCTCAAAACCGGGCGCTGAGGAACCCTAAATCAAGGCATTGGACTTCGGGCTCGTCTTGCGGATGAGAGTTGGGAGTTTCCGAAAATAGGGGATCCAAATATCGCACCCAAACTAGTAGGATCCCTATTATAAGGGTCCCCAAATAAAGTACCCCGAATTTTCGGAAACTCCCAGTTTGCAGGAAAGGTATCAGTCAAGCGAGCAGAGAGACGGGGCACCGACTGCCTTAACAAGAAGAGCCGGGTTACAGAGTCTGTCAAGCTAGGGCTAATAGCCGATATTATGGGAGTTTCCGAAAATAGGGGGTGCCTTATTTTGGTGTCCTCATAAGGATCCTACTATTTAGGGTACTCTGTTTTGGTCCCCGATTCTCGGGAACCCCCATATAGACGGACGAAAACTGCACAACTTTGTTGATTTGAATCCGCCGTAGCCAGAATCAAACATGATGTGATTGCCAGGACTCGAAACGAGGGAGCAGCAAGCCTCTCCACAGTGCATGCCCAAACCGAAGCCTCAACCCAAACAAACGAAACCCTAAACCCTACCCCAAATCCGAAAGCCTAACCCCAATACCCTGAACCGCAGTAGCATAAAGCTCTACGAGCAACTCTGTATGCAGCCCGTCCCACCTGCAAGCCGATCCGGCAGGAGAACCAAGGAGGCGAAACTCAAAGCTTCATCCTGCAGCAAAGACTTTGGTTAGTAGGGAATGGAAGAATGGTAGTAATAGTAGTAATACTTGTACCCGATTCCTCCATTCCCTACTAACCAAAGGTAAGAAGAAGGGCGGGCTTTATGACCTGGGGGCTGGAAAGCTGCTTATGAGTTTTTGATGTACCTAGGCTTGAGAATGTGTGGGGTCATGGCTCTTCGGAATAGGGCTCAAGGTATGATGGGGCTTCGGGATTGGACTCTAAGGCTGCCGGCTGCATCATCGCCGGAAGACCATATGCCAAGGGTTTTAGGGTTTAGGGTTTAGGGCCCTAAGGGCCTTCAATGCATTTTACGGGGACCCGAAACCCATCAATCGAAGTGGCCTGAACAACTAGCAAAATTCCAATATGCTTCCGAACTAATCATAACATAAAAATGCACCCCCCCAAAAAGCCCCACTGCCCTAGTGTAAGAATCCAAACGCCAAGATCAGAGGGTTCACCAAGGTGGGTGGAGGGTGGAGAGAGTTTCGGCTTGGGGCTTCGTAGCCAGGCTTAGGGGTATTGGGGTTCACGATTGGGGTTGCGGCTGGCGGTTTGTGGTCGGTTTTAAGTTTTTGGCTCATTTGGCTAGGGTTTCGGGCCTAGAGGTAAAGACTCGTCTTGCGGCTTGGGTTGTCGGGCTTAGGGCTTGGGATTTAGGGATGGACTGACTGGTGGAGTCCTGTGCAACATGAACATGTGCAAGCTGGCACCAAAGCAGGGTCTAGAGTTTAGGGTTTGGGTTTTTTCAAGCGTTAGGGAGTTTAGGGTAGCCTTGCCTCGCCAGCGGACAGCTGAGCCACCTGCCGGGTATCTCTCTCCCTCTCTCCCCCTCTGTCCCTCCCCCTCTGTCCCTCTGTCTCTGTCTCTCTGTCTCTCTCTGTCTCTCTCTCTCTCTCTCTCTCTCTCTCTCTCTCTCTCTCTCTCTCTCTCTCTCTCTCTCTCTCTCTCTCTCTCTCTCTCTCTCCCTCTCGCTAGTGACCGAAGCCAGACCATCAAAACAGATCGGAGTCTGTGCTCGTTGCGGCCGGATTGGCTCAGCTGTGTCTCGGCTTCTATGGCATGCAGGCCTGAGACCCAGATATAAGAGTCCTTGGTTTGGTTTTTCCTCATGGATGCAGGGGGTCTTGTCCGATTTCTGTCAAGGTCCTTGGGATAAGAGCTGCATTTTCGAGAGCCGCCATGTAGAAGCACATATTAACCCTTGCCAAAGCCTTCCAACAACCCTAAACCCTGAATCCTAAACCTCTTAGCCCTAAAACCCCTAAACCGCTGCAAGTAGAATTGGAATCCTACAACACCCTAGATGGGCGTGCAGCTCCAAGCGAGATCTCGCAACGTTCACACATTGGGGCTTCCCACCTGCGCTTCGGGCTGCTCTGGTCCTGCATGGTTTAAGGTTTTTTTTGTTTTGGAGCTCCTTTTTGATGCCTGCTCCCGGGTCACAAACATCAAGGCCTGGTAGACCAGGAGATATGGACAACTCTGGTTTAAGGTTTAGTCTTCAGGGTTTAGGCTTCAGGGTTTCAGGTTTAGGGATCGTGACTCGGTGTTTGTTGGGGTTTCGGGGTTTCGGGGTTCAGATCTTAGGGTTTAGGACTTGGTGTGGGTGAAAACATAGGCCAGGCCTTGAGCAGATTGCCAGTACGATTCCATGGCTACCCGAGTATAGCCTGCCTGTTACTTGGCCGCATCCCTTCAGCACATTTACCTCCGGCTATCGGAGGAGGCTCTGGGACATAAAACTATAAAACGTGAACCTCTACCACACCCCGGCATGATCGAAGAACCTCGGGCCCAGAGAATTCTACGGCTGGCCTTTTGGGCCAATGATCTGGCCAGACTCGTATATTGAGGGCCAAGGATTGAAACTTCCAAGTTCGGGTTTAGGCTTTAAGCCTCCCTGTAGCCTGTAGTCAGAAGGCCCTCAGCCCTGAAATCTAAGCACCCAAGCCCAATACCTGAATCCTGGCTCTATACATGCCTACGACACGCTTCTTCCCGAAGCTGCACCACTCCCGAAAGCAAGAGTCTCACGACAAGCTTCTTGAAACGGCTGACCCGCTAGCGGCGCTTTCGGTTCAGTTGAGTAGCAACCTACTCAGTCTGCTCCAAGAGTCGCGATTACAGAGAGGAGAAAGAAAGCCAAAGAAGCGAAGCAGACAGGGAAAACGACATGAAAGCCACAAGCCATTGTGTCACACAGCACTGAGCCTCAGACGGAGAAACACATAAGCGAAACGAGGTAAGCTTGACAGGTAGAAAGGGCAACAGCAGAACTACAGCTTGGCGGAAACTCCTGCAAGGAGGCGCGAAAGACGCTCGTCGCAAAGTGGCGCGACAACCTCAGTGAAACGTCGTGGAAGCTGGCACCAGAACGCCGCAACTATCTTCTTTACTGCTGAAGAGAGAAACGAGAGGATCGGTGTAATTACTTCTTGAAGCAACAGGTGAGCCTATTGTCGGGGACTTAATCATTCGATCATCAGCGACCATCTTTAGGGTGCTATTACCAATACCCGTACCAATACTTCAGACCCCACCTTATTTTACATAGAAAACATAGAAGAACATCTGATCCTGAGGAATGGTGTTGGCAACTCTATACTATCCCAACCCCGCGTGGAGCATTTCGTCCTGAAATGGGCATAGATGGAAGATGCCCGCAACAAAGGTGAGCCGAGAAGTGGAAGCAGGGAGCCGAAAAGGAATACTTGAGGG